CTAGCAAATCACTATAGCAATGTAACAATATCCAATGCAATTTAAGGCTTCACTTAAAATCCTGTTTTGCCCACAAGGATTCTGAGATAGTAATCTTCCCTCTAATCAACATTATTTTTCTCCATCCTTAAATTGCCCTCCTAGAGCCTTTTCTCCTCCAGTTTAATTTAATCCAGAACAACAGACATTATTGTCCTTTTTACTCCTTCTAAGTGGTTCCAACCTCTGCAGGATACTTATCTACAGTATTAATTTTATTGCCTATATCTTATTACTATATAGACTTTATTGTACACCAGTTTCAAATTGGAACAATTTAGTACAAGGATGGCATACAAAAAGATAATAACTTGCAATGACTATACCCCAAATTTAACTTAACAAGGACCATCCAGAATTTATTTTGTTAGATACACATCTTAATTAAATCAGTGGCTAATGAACAATAAATGCTTGAAGGGAAAATATCTAAACTATTAAATGGCCATAGGGTTAAAACCACAAAGCATCTATTTATTCAATTCAAAATTACTTTCCAAGGTACATTTCTCATCATCCCAAAGAATTAAATTTTTCTTAGAAATAAGTATTGTTGAAATCAGTGGAATTTACTCTCAGGTAAATGCTTCTGAATTCTGAGGGCCATTTCTTCACTAGCAAGTTATATTGCTATTTAACACAATTAAGGTATTTTTTAAAATTATATCTTCCTGATTATTGTATATGGGCACAACAATGGTTGGATGGCTCTAAAAATGTTAGAAATTAGGATTGGGGCACTGGCCTTAGTTTCATGACACACCTCTTCTCCTTTTCAATACATTTCCTCCTTGGAGATATGAAACCTGGAGAACCAGTGTAGCACATAAGTCATACAAAGCTGATTGCACATATGATACTTCCATTAACCAGGATTTGTTGAATTAACTATAATTACCTAGGTGTGTACAGTATAAATCTACAAACCATTATGACTGATTGACAAGAAATATTAAATTTAAGATAAATCACAGTACAATTCCATACTGCTTTCCTAAACCATGTGCCCTCTAGATATGCTAGATTTCAACTCTCCAAAATATAAACAGACCTCACACGCCCCTTTCCATAAGCTGAGTAGCCCTCAACTTATGGCAGTAGTGGAAAAGGCTGTGACCAGAGTCACATTATCCAACCATAGATGCTTCGACTACAGTCTCCACTCACTGGTGATGTTTACAAATCACACTTAATCAGGTCACACTTAACCAGTTCAGATGGAGAGTTGTATCAGTGTATGCTGTCAAAGAAAAATCAGAAGGAATCAATAGCACCTTTTGTGATTTACACATTTGCCTTATAAAGGCAAAACCTTTCATGTGTCGCAGCTTTCTTCATCAAATGCAGCTCCCAAAAGTGTCTGCCTTTTAATAAAATCTGTTATTGTATCAGGAAAGTTGTCACCAAACTTCTGATTTTCAGGTCAGATACAATACACTGATACAACGTTTCAAACTTGATTAGTGTTGACTTTTCAGCATTTAGTGTCCTGTACAAACAAAACAGGATTAAGTCAACAACCAGGTTAAATGCATTGCCCTAAACATCACTACTCTGAAGCTTAGAACTAAAACTGAAATAATTAAATAAGATGAATTTTATTAATTTTTAAAATTTTACTAAAGTTCTTAACTTTATCTTACAAAAGGGCAGCTGTATGGATGAAATGGGGACAAACCTCATTTATACTCCCCTGATTTATTTTATTATATTATATTTATTATGCAAATTGGCTGAAGGTGAATCAAAACTTAATTTCTTCAATAAGCAAAATACAGATGCAATAAATACATACATATATAAACCCTTACAGAACTATTTCATCCTCCTTTCAGCTATCCCAATTATTATAATTCATTTTTTTTTGTCTTGCCTTTCCTGGAGAGACAGATGAGGCTGCTGGTGTAGAAACCAGGAGACCATGAGTTCTAATTCTGGAATGAAAACCAGCTGGCAGATTTGGGGGCCAAACCCTCTGAGGTCAGCCTACCTCACAGGACTGCTGCTGTGGGAAAATAAAACCCCCTCACAGGACTGTTGTGTGGGGAATCCAGGAAGTGTTAGGTGTGTGTGTGTGTGTGTGTGTGTGTGTCTATATATATATAGACACACACACACACACACACCAGTCTCAAGACCGTGACCATACCTAACACCACCTGGATTCCCAACAACAGTCCTGTGAGGGTGATTTTATATATTTTATAACATATAGATATAATATATATACACACACATATTGTGTGTGTATGTATGTATATAATAATAAAATAATAGGTAGTACTCTCAAGGTGGCGACCTATCCGATAGCCCTGCTCCTCTTTTATCCAGAACAACCACCCTGTGAGGTGGCCTGGGTTGAGAGAGGGAGAGGGAGAGGGAGGGACTGGCCCCAAGTCACCTCTTCGGATGCCCATTTTTGTCCAAGTACCGCAACAACAACCTCATCAAAAGAAGCCACAGCGCTGTTTTTTTTCAAAATTCAAGGCGGCAACGGGCAGCGCAATCCCAAGAGCCCTCAGCCTCACTCCGGAGGCGGTAAAGATGGATTCGGGAGTGAGGAGGGAATCGAACCGAGATTCAAACCGAGATTCCGAGTTTCCGCTTAACAAACCCGACGCCACTTCCCCTCGTCCCAACTCCGCTCACCCTTCGGCTTCCCCCACACCCGGACCTGACCTTACAGAGCTGCTGCCCCTGGCTGAGCGCCTCGAAGGGGAACCGCTGGTGGCACTTGGTACAAGCGTAAAGCGCCGCCATTCCGCCGCCTTCCCCGACAGGCGCAGCCTTCCCCCAACCCGACGTGGTGTCCCTTCCCTCCTCTCGACGTCATTGGCTAATATCAATGCCATTTAGCCATTGTGAGGTGGGCGCTTTGGCCTTATTTGAGGCTCATTGAGTCTCCTGAGACGTCACTCAGGAGCGGGAGGCGGGGCGGCTTTGTGTGTTTGGGGAAGTGGCAAAGGGAAAGAAACAAAACAAAACAGGAGCTGCGCTCTGACGTCACGGGAAGGCGCCATCCGAGTGGTGGTGAGGGAGGAGGAGATAGACGTCAGGTGACCCGCGCGAGGAATCTTTCGCCATAGAGAGCAGGGAAGAAGTGAGGCTAGAGTGGCTCACGGTCCGGTTCAAAGCGAGATGCCGGAATAACGACAAGATTTCTGCCTTGAAAGGAACACGGTCTTGTGTTGCGTCGACAGAGGCAACGCGGACCGACCCGTATCCATGCTTAGGCTTGGCTATCAGCCGATTACGTACTGTCATCTCTTCGGGGGACACACACCAAGTCTTGGCTAGCGAACGGACGTGTCTTTCTACTGACCCTAAATCTCATCTCGGACTGGCCAAAATCGGGACACTGTTCCACAGCAGCATCGTCGCCTTTCTCCCCTGCCTTGTTCTTGCTCCTTCCGTGTTTAGGGCGTGCAGAAAGCGAGCCTTAGAATCACAATCGTGGAAGGGACCTTAGAGATCCTCTAGTCCACACACACCCCCACGCCCCACCTGAACATATATTTTCTTAACCCAGGGGTCGCCAAGCTTTGGGACCTCGGGGACCACCAAACTCATAATTTTTAATCAGAGGACCAGAGATCCTGGGAAAATCCCCCAAAAAGTCTGCAGGAAAATTCCCCGCCCATTTTCCTACAGATCGATCATTCTTTATTTGGAAACGCAGGATATCATCTCCAGCTCCGTTCTCAGGGGGAAGAGAGAGGGAGACTTGGCTTCATGCAAGAAAAGCAGCAGAAGCAGCAAAAGTCTTTCTTTCTCTCTCCCAAATTCTGCCAGAAACGAGTCTTTGTGAGATTTGTTGGGCCGGCGCAGCCTCTTGGAGCAAGATGCTTTGCAGGGTCCCAAAGACTCATTTCTGGCGGAGTTTGGGGGAAGAGAAAGAAGGACTTTTGCTGTTTTCCTTGTGTGCAGCCAAAAACAAGAAGAAAGAAGCAGAAAGAAGCAGCCTGGTGGCCAGGCCAGGCGTGTGGGGCATGTCGGGCAAGTTCCCCCTCTCTGCCCCTTCCCCCTCCCCTCACTACCTTATGTTGTTCGGAATGCAAGCAATGCAAGCCTTGTGTTCCCACAGACCACGTGGGCGGTGCAGCCTTGTGTTCCCGCGCAGCCTGGATTAATTGCTTTGGGGGTGACATTTCTCTGTGGACCACCAAAATTTTCTTGTGGACCACTAGTGGTCCCCAGCCCACTGGTTGGCAGCCACTGACTTAACATATCCCTTGAACATAGTCACTGTTTATTGCAAAACATAAATTCAAGCATGAACTCCAGATCTTAAGATCAAATCTTACGTTATGAGCTGTGTATTTCTTAAGAAAAAGATGAGATATCAGCCACATAATTCAAGGTTTTTTTTATTGATTTGCTTCAGATATTACACTATTTGGTTAGCCATGGCTTATAAATATGCCATAATTGGCTAAATTTGCAATGTGCCAAACTGACATAAGCCATAGTTTACAAACCACAATGGCAAGGCTAACAACATCAGCAACATCATTAAATCTATGGTTGTATTACCCGCTGTAGAGTGGTCTCAATGTTTGTTACCTAGATTCAAAAAGCTGGGGTGGAATGGCAGGTTGTGTATGCAGACACATGTTCAAACAACAGCTTCTGCCTTACAATGCAATAGCATTTCACAGCACAAATGGCGACTCAGCAGAATGATCTGTAAAATGGAGACCTTTTGCTATGGAATTTTCTAATACAATACAACCAAATGCCTTTTGCTGAACACAATAGTCACTGTTGTTAGGCCAGGATTGGATAGGTGGCACTAGAAGTCACTCCACAGTTGTTTTCCTTCATGGACATGAGGATGTAGCCATCATTGCCCCAATATGTAGACCAAGAGTTCTTAATGAGCCAGTAGGGTTCCCCCTGGAGGTTTCCATAGCCTACAGCTAGGACAGCATGATCTAACTCCATGGTTGTATTTCCTAGAAGAATAAGTGTAATTATTAACTTATCTCCTTTGACAATTCATATATATGAAGAAACAACAGGTTTAAAGGTACTTCTGATTTTTATTCAGAGAGGTAGATTTTTCATTCTCTCTACTACTGCTCTTCTTGCTGTGAGCTGCAAGTCCCTAACTCAGCACAATAGTCAAGCCTACCTTTGATTACCTTGGTCTTTTCAGAAAAAGATTGGTTTGGTTAGAATGCAGGGAGCAAATTTCATATCTTACTGAAGTACAAGAGGTTTCCCCATAAATTCTGAATATGTTCCAATGGGGTAAAGGATACTGAAATGTTTCAATCTTGGGGAGAGGAAGGAAACGTAATGATTATTCCAAATACGACTTTCTCATAATTTCAAAGCCCCTAATGTAATATTCATGAAATCCTCTTAAGATACCCATCCAATCTTTTTGAAAGGTTCTAAAACTGAAAGGAGGAAAAGGAAGTTAGCATGCTGCCAGTTTGGCCTAGTGATTAAGACACCAAACTTGAAAGTGGGAGACTTGAGTTTCAAGTCCCATCTTAGCCATGAAAGCCAGATGGGCGACTTTGGGCCAATCACTCACTCAGCTCAACCCACCTTATGGGGCTGTTATGGGCAAAATAGGAGGAAGACGGTGTATGATCACTGCCTTGAGTTATTTGCAATATGCTCACTGCCTTGGGTTATTTGCAAAAATTGTAAAGGTGGGGAAAAAAATAAGATAGATAGAAGATAGATAGATAAAGAAAAAGAAAGAAAGAAAAAGAAAGAAAAAAAGAAAGAAAGAAAAAGAAAGAAAGAAGGAGAAAAACCATCTGGAATGATTTTTACTTCCAAGAATTAATAAAAATGGCAGCTGGCTAGAGTCCATTATTATCTTTTTTCTAGACAATTGGCTGCCTGCCCAGAGAATAACAAGGGTGAACTGAAGGTGAAGATGCCAGAGAATGCTCTGGAGCTGGGTTTCTCAACCTTGGCATCTTTAAAATGCATGGACTTCAATTCCCAGAATTCCCCAGCCTGCTTCCTCACAATGTTTGGAGGTTTCCAGCCTGTGTTCAACACCTAGAGAATGTACCTCATCCAGAAATAGGGCAGCAGGGTCTGGTGAGCATCAAAGCACTGTCCTGGATGAAACCCAGAGATCCAGGAGTGCATCGGGAGATCAAGCAGAGGAAATGCCATGGCAAGACAAGACTCTGCATGGGGCTTACCATTGATGTACCATCAACAGCGAGCTTCGGTGGTTGACACTGGGGAAATGTATCAAAGAGCTGGACTAAAAGGCAACACTGAGGCACTGATTACAGGAGCACAAGAACAGACACTTGATAGGTGTGAACAATTAGGATCACACATTAAGTTGCAGCTAAGATTTATTGCTCAAGCCTATATACATCATACACTAGTCAATTAACAATCAAGGGGTGTTGGACTTTGACCATTTGTGGGAATGTAATGATTCTAGGCTGATGACTCGTTTAACTTCACCCTCCAGCTCTGCCTGCTCTTCTACAGCATTATAAGCATCAGATCTATAGAAGAGAGGTCTACCAGACTAGAGAGGACCGAGGTGCAGCCTGGGCAGAGAGGCTAGGGAAATTCTGTGTTGAAGTCCACTTATCTTAAAGTTGCCAAGGGTTGAGAAACACTGCTTTAGAGAGGATCTAGCATAGCTGGTGAGCATTCACTCCACTGTGCCTGTCAGTAAATTGTATGGCTGGCCACACCTAGCTGACTCTCATTTTGTCTACTGTCAACTCTCCCTTTTCTAAACAGAAGACAGCTCTTCTTCAGAGCAGCCATTCACAAAGCATGCTTATGAGATACCCTCAAAAATCCCAGCACGAAAGATACTGAGCATCCCTGTCATCAAGAAAGCCGAGGAAACTCGACGGTTCCATGGATTGCTCCAATAGATTTACTACATCTGGATCCCTGCTTGGAAAAAGACCATGAACCAAGAAGTGAAAGGAAACTCACCACAGTTGGGCTCGTAATACATGCCATTGGAATAGAAGGCAAAGGACTTGTGGGAGGCATCGATGTTCACTGCGATGGGGCCATGCTTGTACAGAGCAGCTTTAAGGTCAGTCATGTTTTGGGAGGTAATAGCTACGAAGCCGGCGATTGGTGCTATCAGCTCCGTTTGGTTGTAGTGGCAGTAGCCATTCTGTGGGGTCAGAATCAACATTGGTAACCGTCCCAGCTGGCTTCTGTCAAGAAAAGTCAACTGGGGAGGCCAGATTCACTTAATAACCGCATGATTCACTTAACAACTGCAGAAATTTGCGTACAATCCCCAGATAAGGACAACCAGGAGAAACCGCTCACCTGAGGGATACAGGAAGAGTATCAGCAAAACTACCCTAGACTTACCTGACCCATATATGGTCCATAGGCCTCAGCAGTGGCAATCCCTCCGTGCTTCATAATCCATTCAAATGCCTGTGGTTCCTGGCCCCCGTCACAAGCACGGTTTCCAAAACCCCAGGAGCAGTCGATCAAGATTTGCTGAGATAGTGGGGTAAGCACTCCTGTCTGCATGGAAAGAATGAAAGAGAACCTCTCTCTGGTTAGAAACCGACTACAGGGAGTCCTCAACTTACAACAGTCCATCTAGTGACTGTTCAAAGTTACAATGGCACCTTTGCAGCATCCGTGATCCGGTCACATGATCAAAATTCAGGTGCTTGGCAACTGACTCATATTTATGATCGTTGGTGTGTCCCAAGGTCACATGATCCCCTTTTGCGACCTTTGGACAAGCAAAGTCAATGGGATGCCTGATTCACTTAACAACCATTACCAACTGCAGTGATTCACTTAACGACTATAGCAAGAAAGGTTGTAAAAAGGGGGCAGTACTCAGAATTCACTCCTATAAATAACTCAAGGCTGCAAA